GTTTTTCGTTGGCGTATTTGTTTGTTCAATGTGATCGATCTACTTGTCGTTTTTGTTGTTTCAGATGCTGTGGTGGATGGCACTTGCTTTGCTCGATGATGGGGCTGTTTTGGGTTTTTGATCCTTCTTTGTTGGCGGCTTTATCAGCTCTTCTCTGTTGATTTTGTGAGTGTAAGTTATCTACGAGCTCTTTTTTCATTTATCCCTCTATGTTCAAGTGGCAGAGAAACCAACTCTTGTCATGTTATTTTGTCACCTCTCTTCTCTCTCTCGGTTTGTTTGTTTGTGTTATATTTTTCTGATTGTTGTTGTTGTTGGTCTATTGCTCAGATACGGTGGGACTATATATACAGTGTGGCTTTTGATTTATGTTATGATGTTTGACTTCTCTGAACCAAGAGGAAAGAAGAAGCTGGTGCCTTTTTTTTGGCTTACTCTTGTGTGTTGCAGTAGTATCATGTATGGTGTTTCTGTTTTTGTATTATGGTTGTGGAAGGATTTCCCTCAACATCCAAAAATATATAAAGTTGTTTAAAGTTACAAGTTGTTTGCAACGAGTGATAAGCTTCATTTGATGGTACTGTCACCATTGTTTTTTAAATTCAAGTTTTCCTTCTAATAGAGAGGTATTGATTTTAAAAGAAGTCTCAAACAAATCTCATTCATCATTCTCTCTCGCATGACCTTTGCCATAAAGGAAAGGAAAGTTGACAAACCAAAAAAAAAATAAGTAAAGAGTAAGTAAACACACATTCAAAACCATCATCAAACGTCAGCTAAGTGAAGAATCAAGCACAGAGAGAAACAACAACAACAAAAAACAAAATTTTCATTGATTAAAATGTTCCCAAACTTTATATTCTTTGCTTAATGTTTGTTTACAATAGAGCTCAAAAAAGGAAGACAAAGATTATGTTTCTCTCTTCTTCTCATTTCTTTGGTTGGTATCTGGCTTTGCTGGTTTTAACCTGTTTGGGTTTGATCTTGAACGTCTCAACGAGAATGTTGTCAGGAAGAGCTCCAAAGAGAGATGCCACAAGTGACTGTGTTCAAAAGCTGCTAGCACAGAAGCTGGAGCTGATCCAGCATTGCTCTTCTGGAAATGAGGAGATGCTACAGTGACTTTGTGTGAAGCATTTTAGTGCTATAACATTGAATAATAAGAAACACTAATACTTATTATAACTTATTGTACAGCCCTCTTATAATAGATCATTAGGTTCTAAACCTCTCTTATTCCAAAAGTACTTTGATTTATGTAACAATAGTAGTTATATTTATTATTTAAAGAAGAAAACAATGCTTGATGTGTCTCTGAAGAAGATCATTACTATATATATATAGCCGTTTCCATTTCAATTCAAAGCTTCTCTTCATCTGAGTTAGAACAAGGAGGTCCAGGCACGTCCACGAAAAACTCCTCTATTTGATGGATGCAATGCAAAACAAGAAAGCAAATAGATAATGAATGAGAGCATCACAACAATATATATAATAAACCAAACAAGAACCGAATCAGTTTGACTCTGATTTGGTTTTCTACTGACAATGTTTCAAGACTAGTAAGTTTTGAGATTATCTGTTTACCTATGTCCTCATGGTCAGGAGAATCAAGCAAAATCTCTGAATCAGATGGAAGAAATGGAGAGCCTGGATAGTTTCCTAAGCCTCCTAATTCTGCAACATACACATCTTTTATCCAATAACCAATCTTGTTACATATATATATATATAACACAAAATGATGTAAATTTGAACCTTACCTCCAAAAAGTAAAAAAAAAAAAAAAAAAAGATGTATAGTTGAAACTTACCTCCCAAGTTTGACAGATCTGCAGTGAGATCAGAAAGGCTAAAATTCCAGGGAATCTGATCAAATGACCTGAGAGAATCTTCTGGATTCACACCTCCTCCTCCTTCTCCTCCAACATCAGAAATGAACGGGGAATCAAGCACTGAAGCATCCATTACCGTATCTGAAGCATCAAATGGAAAGTGTCCACTTGATGCCACAGAAGCTGGACTCACTGCCATCTCACCACTCCTTGGTGGAATCACTTGAGGAGTTGCATCTTCCACGGTTGTATCATTCAACATACTAAACATCAATAACAGAGATATTTTTTAAAAGTTTAAGACATCAACTAGATAAAAAACAAATAACAGATTTGTTGGTTCTTACTCATTCGTTGAGTTAAATTGCTGGAAATTAGCAGGTGCAGGGACTCCATTAACAACATGGCACCTTGACATTCCCATTGCATCAAAATGAGGATGGCCTTGAACATGCATTTGAGGATGTTGTAGTATTGGATATCCCATTGGCATGTTAACTACTGTACTGCGAAACAAGAACAGTGTTAAAGTAATAATGAAACAAAAAAATATTACTTGCAAGTGCTAATAGACTTATTACCAGGTGCCATGTGATGATGCATCGGTGCCAGAGGAATCTTTGGAGGTACAGGAGGATACTTCATGAGATGGTACTGGTGCTCAAGCAAATGATTGAACAAAATTATTTGCTTCTTCAGTTTCAACCTTATGTAATAAGCCCTGAAGAAGTCACCGTTCTCTTCTTCCAGTTTCTGCCAAACTTATTTCACAATAAAAAAGAATGATCAATAATGGACTTCTCATATATCAAATGAAGAAAGAGATTTTCAAAAATGCTCACCTAAGCTTGTAAATCCAGGGTCTATCCTTGCACGAGCCAAGAGGGTCTTCACGACCTCATCTCTGTTCATGTATAGCTGAAGACACCTTTCTATCAAATTCTGGACCTACATCAATCATGTATATCATCAGATGTTACACATATACGAGAGACGAGGAGATCAAATATTGTCTTACAAGTTCAATATCATGTCTTGAGACTTTCCTAGTGTCATTGCTTGAAGCAGATACAGAAACAGAATCTTGAATAGGAGGAGCATCTATTGATTTGTTAATTTTCTGTTCACCTTGGGACTCATGTGAAGCTTGAGTGGAAGATTGTACTAGTTCCTGTGCGCATTTGAAATAATATTTTAACTTATTGGTAACAAAAAGTCTACAAATACTGAGACAGATGCTTATGTATGTACTGATCTAAATCCATCAATCAATTCCTGACATGAATAAGTAGCTACAAAAGAACAGTAACTACAACTAGACATTTCAGGAAAAAAACAAGGAAGCTTAAGAAAAAGCAGAGCTAACACAAGTTAATGAGTTTCGGAAAGCACTAACAGTTTACAAAGTTAACAAAGTGTACTATAGAGAAGAACATGTTATACCTGTCCGTTATTCATTACTGATAAAATATAAACTGCATGGATGATGAGAACTCTTCACTTAAGCAGCATTTACAATAAGGCAGTCCATAGAGCTAAAAACCTTGATCAGGTTTTGTATTGAAAAGATAATCCTGAATAGCAAGAAGCAGAAGAAAACAATTAGATATAGGCCATAGTTCTTCAAAACAGTCAAGGCAATACAATTTAGCATGCTAAATAAATAAAAAAAGGAGGGTATATAGTATTTTCCACAGTGAATAGTTAATTGTCAAACAAGCATAAGTCCCTCAAGCATTTGTTTAATAGGGTTCCAGATCCCACAATACAGAATCTTATCTAATATATAATAAAGAAAACTATAATCATAAACTTCACATTTACATTATCAACAACACCAGTACAAGTAATGAATTCACCAACTTGGAAAAACCACCATGAGAAATCTAATACGTGAATTTAATTCCAGAAACGTTTTGCAATATGTGGAACTAGAAAACAAAAGAAGGAAATCTTGAATCCAAATTTGCTGGAGATTGTGAAAAGAACAATGATAATGTAAACAAAACTTTTAAAAAGATTAAGAATACAATAAACAACACCCCCACATGAACAGAAGCTCTCTAATAAAATAATACTGAACCAAAAAAAAAGCAGAAAGAGCTTATAGTGAGAACTTCAAATAAACAAACCCAAATTATATAAAAAGATCCCAGCAGCGAATCTCACCTAAACGAATCCAACAATGAACCCTAAATCTTACTCTCCGGAAAACTGAGTAGTTAAGTCGACAAATTGATTATATCAAAAATGAAACACACTGAAAATTGCCAACCATAACTTGTGACATAGACACCACTAAGAAGGAGACAGAGAGCGAGCTTAGAGACTAAAATACAGAAAAACAAAAGCTTTCTGAAAATTCGTAGAAGAATAACTATAGAATATGCAGTAGTAAGTCAGTGATGTGTAAAATGCAGTAAGTCCAGTAGCACTTGACTGAGAGAGACGGTCAAATTTTGACAATGGAACGGCTTTTATTTTTAGAATTTACGGCTACTAAACCGAATCAAACCAAAACCAACAAAAATGAATCGAAGTAAACCAGTGTATTTACTTACGCGTAATGGCCATCAAATTGTTACGATACGACAAGACAAAGGCATGGCATCGCCTGCTCTGTCTTTAGGAATAGCATTATTTTTGGCAAGGACCACTTTCTTCTAATAATCTCTCACACTAGGCACCAAAGTAGATCTCTCCTGATTGTGAGTGAATTAATCAATCTTCCTTGTCTTTTCCCTCTAATTGTGTTTTCTTATGTTACTGCTTATAATGAAAAGAGATTAGAATTTACCACTGTAATTATAGCTAACTGCAAAAAAAAAAAAGAAGAGAGGTTCAAAACCACACTTAATACAATAAAATTCGACAGCAAACAATATATATATATATAGTCAAGTTGTTGATTGTTGTGTTACGACGACAAGGCATGGGCTCTTTGTAACTCTTTTGGAATGAATGGCATTTTTTTCATTATTTTCCATCAGGACCACCTCTCTTCTGAAAATTATACCATGATATTCAAATAAAAAAATTCTTCTCAAAACGAGTGGCCTCACTTCAAACGCTCTTCTAAGATAAATAAAACAGTGAGAAGAGGGTAGTCCAACAAGCAAAGAAAACACAGCACTAATTTAGGCCAGGCCCGGCAAAGACTTTTGAACTACACAGAGTAATCTTATTCCACATTTTCTGCCATGATCAAAGCAAAACTACACGTACAGCTAAAAAGTATACGATTTTTTTTTTCTTGCTAAAAAGAAATTAGAGCACATTAGTTCTTGAATGTTTTATAGAAACATGATTGACGATGAGCCCTTAATTCTAATAGTATTTCTTTGTGGGCAAAAAAGACTACATTTTCTGTGGAAAGAGAGCAAAGAAAAGTTTTTAACCAGCTAGCTCTAGGATCTGATCTCTGCGTAGCGTTTTCTTAACCAGGTTGGGTCGCTGAGTGATGCTTACCGATTACCCTTGACTTGGTTTCTTTCTTTGTTGCTTCAACAAAAAAACACCAGATTGGTCTGAGATTGATCAGTTCCAGCCAAAACTTGACCACCCTCATTGATGTTACTTTCCCCTGTTTGGTGAGAAAAATCTATCTGATCAAGAGTGTACTGTCTCACTCTGAAACCTAACTTTTGTGAAATGGAAGTTACCTAGGGAAGCGAGGCGAGGAAGGATCATCAGTGTGAGAACCACGACGATACCTTGGCTGCTGATCTTCAAATGCCTCACCACCAGCTGAATGGTTGCCGTCATTAAGATGCGGTGCTTCATCCACAGAGTTGTTCTGATCGTACGGATAAAACATCATGGCAGATGGAGGAGGGTTGTGTCCCTCACTGTTCTGCTTCATGCCATGTGGCAGTCTGTATATGCTATACGCCACATTCCCAGAAGCATCTTGTGAGCGCATAGGAGGTTGGTGAGACGAATATGAGGATGATTCATGCCTATACGACGATGACACCCATTGCCTATCGGATCGGTGGTCTTGCCTTGGCTTATTATTATCAACTTGATTACGATTGTTGTAGCTACTACTACGTCCAGAGGCCCGTGCCTTTGAACCACCGTTCCAGTTACCTTCTCTCTCACTTTGATGGTCGTTGTTTCTGTCATGTCCATAATTATTCCCTCGCCTCATGCCAGATGTAGGCCGCTGCTCCCTTCTCTGCAACAAATACCAAAAAAAAGTTCAGAGCAAAACCGTCATGAATGCTATATCTTAATATACAAATAAACGAAAGACAACATACAATCAATAAAGAAGGAGATGGCAATGCTTCAGCAAAATAAGCATAGCAAGGGGGATAAAGATGTTCAGAACGAACAAGATCCACAAGCACAGACTGTAACATGCCTAAACTAAGTAGCAGACTTGAAGGCAAGTAAAGTAAGCAGACAAAACATACTGTGAATTCATTCAAGACGCATAAGCCATAAGACTGTATCAATAATAAAATAACATAAAATTTCCTCTCCATGCCTTAAGCCAGACAACAAAAAACGAAATTTGTAACTTGATTGCACGCAACGGAATATAATGGAAACTCAAAGAAGGGACGCAGTTCTTACAGGATTTGGAAAATAGGTCCCCGTCCCACTTCGATATCTGGGAGTTTCATTAGCATAACGAGGATAAATATTATTAGGTGGCCTGGTGGAAACAGGAGCAACGGGTACAAGACGAGGTCCGTAGGTCATGAGCTGATTAGCTCCATTTGTGTAAGCAAGAGGTCTTCCAAGACCATCCCATGGTAAACGCCCCTGGAGATAACCAGGTGGCACTACAACAGAAGGAGGATACAAGACAGGTGGATGTTGAA